GATTGGTACCCCTGAGAAATGACAGGAGTAAGAAAAGATACAATAGAGTTCCTTGGTGGTTCGTGTTTTTAGAAGGCCTTTTTCCTTCTTTCTGCATCCAAAGCAAGTTCTCGTTCCCATGGAAACGTGGTGTCTCGGGCCATGGGCGCCCCCACACACTCAGGCATAGACGGTATACACGTCTGCACTCAGTCTCACCAAACCCCATGCAATGTGAGTCCACTCGAATTCCGTGCTCCTGGGACATCGAGCATGCTGTATGCAATGAGGTGGCAAGGGACAGTAGACACATACGGTATATATCGCCTCTGCTTACAGACATGCTCCAATGTCCCATCAGACTTCACTTACAAAACACAAGTTCAAAAGTAAGGTGGTTAAGAATTTCAAGATGGCAGCAACAGAGCAAGTCTCCTGCCGGTGAAGCTTACTCGGTCTGTAGCAGGGCCCATACTCTCGAACTTCATCTCCTGCCATCTTCCCCCCAAGGCCACTCAGCTCCGGCCATATGGCCTCCTCACTGTTCCTTTGGATGCCGGGCTCAGGGTCCCTGCACTCATTCAGGTTTCATCACCTCTGCTGAGTGGGGGCGATGTTCTTCGCTCAGGTATCTACATGGCTTGCTTCCTCCCAGCTTCTTATGTTGTGCTCAAGTGTCACCTCAGGGATCCATTTCTTGACCACCTTAAATACCCTGTATAAAATCGTCTGCTCTGTCCGCACTCTCCCCACTCCCTGTCGTTGCCTGCCTTTCCTTGGTAGCGCTTGTCACCATCTGATAGGTGTAGTTCACTTGTATATTTATTGTCTGTCTCTTCTCACTAGAATGTGAGCTCCACAATGACAGTGATTTTTGTCCCCTCCTATATTGTATTGTCTTTACCTAGTCCAGGGCTTGTCACATAGTAGCTGCTTAATATTTACCGAACAAACAAATGACTGCTAAATGGAAAAAAGTATGTCATTTAATTGGTATTCCTTGGATTATCAGTGAAGAGTATGTATCATTTCCTACATTTATTGCCAATTTGTGTTACTTCTGAATTTCTTATGTTCATTGACCATTTTGTGTGGGGTTTGGGTTTGAGTTCAGCTTTAATAGGTAGAGTTTAGGGAGCTAGTGGGCAGCAAGGTAGACCGAAACCGTTAGCTCCTGAGACTGTTAGTTCATGAGTCACTCCAGAAACAGCAGTCAATCATTAGGATTTCTCTACCATGTGCTTCAGGCATTGTGGGCCTTGCAGAGTACAGCCTTCCCTCTCTGGGGCACATCTCTAATGGGTCTATTTCTCAGCATTCTGTCAACACTTTTTAAACTTAATATTTTTATTTGTTTCTCAGACTTACGGTGAGGGCTCTGGTGCTGACTGTAGACGCCACGTCCAGAAATTAAATCTGCTGCAGGGACAGGTTTCAGAGATGTCACTCAGGTACGGTGGTTTGAGAGGGGCGTGGTTCTCTTGCCTTACTTTCCTCTGGAGTGGGTGGTGGAGGTGTACAGTGGCGAAATCCCTTAGATTTCCAGGTCTTCCAATGTAGCAGTTTTTACGCTGAACAATCTTCCCACTGGAAATAATTTAAAATGCTGGCTACGATATTTTAAATGCACTGATGAGATAATGAGGAAGTAAATAACTAGTACAGGTCAAAGATGAGGCAAAAGCCAAAATCCAGAGAATAAGCACCTGGGCCCCAGGGGGGCAATTAAAACCTGGTACCTGGAGCTTCCATTGAGAAGGCTGGGAGAGCACAGGAGACAGAGACAAAGCCTTGGGCTCACTCAGTGCGCGAGGGTCAGTAGGAGACTGCAACACAAAGCTTAGTCCCCAAAGGACTACACTGTCAGTGTACAAGTGAACTACAAATGCACCCTCTATGTGGCAAGAAACCAGCCTATGCTGACTTCGGCACTCACTGAAGAGGGGAACATCGCTCCAGGATTTTATAAGCACGAGGAAGCTGCCACATGTCTTTTCAGTCTTTAACATGCACTGTATGAAAAGCCTCGAAGGAAGGAAGGAAGGAACGGAGAGAGAGAAGGAAGGATAGGAAGGAAGGGAAAGGGAAGGGGAAGGGGAAGGGGAGGAAGTAAGGGGAAGGAAGGGAGGGAGGGAAGGAAAAGAAGGAAAGGAAGGAAGGAAGGAAGGGAGGGAGGGAGGAAGGGAGGGAGGAAGGAAGGAAGGAAGGAAGGGTAAGAAAAGTCTCAAACTGAGAATTTCTTTTCAAACTATCCCAGGAAGAGGTAAATGCAGCTCCTCTCCGGAGCATCTTCAACCGAGCCTGAAACAGTTCTCACAGATAAAGTTCCAAGGAGCATATACTCCAAGGTAACAATCATTTAACACTCAAGCCTGTCACCATGAGCAAAGAACAGCAGAACAGACAAGCAGATCCACAAAGACTTCAGAGTATATAATATTGTATGTTTACTGTATTTCATGAAATAAAAGAGAGTTGGTAATAGGAGCAAGAGCCTTTAAAAAATAACCAAGTAGTTTTGAAAAAAGTTTGTAGAAATGAAAAATGTAGTCATTGAAATTAAAATTGTAATAGGGAGGTTAAACAGATTAAGTGCAACTAGAGACAGAATTGGTAAAATGGAAGATAAACGTGAAGAAATTATTCACAATGCAACACAGAAAAATTAAAAGGTACAAAATACGAGTTGAGAAACATGGAGAATACAGAGAAGAGTTCCAGCAAGAGAGAATAAAGTGAATGAGGCAAAGGCAGTATTTACGGAGAAAAGAACAGAACATTTTCCAGAATCAGAGGCTTACGTTCTTAGATTCAGGAAACAGTAAATCTGAAACAGGACAAAGACCTTGTGTACTTAGAAAATCCAAATGAACCTCCACAAAAGAGACTAGAGCTAAAAAGTTAATATAGCAAGATCACAAGGATACAAGGTCAACATACAAAATTAAATTTTATTTTTTTAGAACTACTGTGAACTATTGGACAGTGGTTTTAAAATCAAATATCATTTATAATTAGTGTCCAAAAATGAAATACTTAAGAATAAATATAACCAAAAATTGTGCAAGATCTGTTCAGTAAAACTGTAAAACATTGTTACGAGAAATTGAAGATCTAAATTAATGGAGATATAACATATTCATGGATTGAAAAACTCTACATCAGTAAGAAGATAGTTTATTTTAAATTGATCTTAGAGAAACAACCTAATCCCAATCAAAATTCCAGCAGCATTTTTTTTTTTTTTGGTAGAAATTGACAAATAATCTAAAATTTGTATAGAAATGCAGAGGACCTAGGATGCTGAAATAACTTTAATAAGAACAAAGTTGAAGGACTTCTACACCCTGATTTCAAACTTTACTGTAATGCTGTGGTAATCAAGACAGTATAGTATTGGTGAAAGGCTAGACATACAGATATACCAGGTGAATAAATAAATAAATTGGGTTACATTCATACTACTTAGCAACAAAAACAACATAAGCAAAAGATCACATACTGTAGGGGTCGGCCATTTTCTGGGGAGGGGGAATTGCCTGCAAAGAGGCAGAAGGAAACTTTTGGGGAAGGTGAAAATTTTCTCACTATAGTTTCTCATTACATCTCAATAAATTTTTTTTCTATATCTTAATTGGTATGATAGTTTCAAAGGTATAATTTAGCAAAACTTAGTAACTACGTGTGAATGGGTGCATTTTAGTGTATGTTAATTAGACCTCAGTAAGGTAATTTTTAAAGTTAAAAACATCCATCTTTAGACACAACAACATAATGAAATTGCAGAACGTAGAAGAGCTGAAAATGAAGCGGGAGAAAAGCAAGATCACCTATGAAGGAACAACAGACACCCAGTTCCTCGGTGGCAACATCAGAAGCGAGAAGACCGACTGGGATCTTCAGGTCACTGAGATATGTCCTTTAGTTGAGGGAGCCGAGTTCTGGCTAATCGCTAGCAAGACACTGCTCAGCGGAACATTGGTGCATCGACCATGTGCAGGGCAGGCGTTTCACATGTGTGCTCTCATGTCATCTTCATAACCACCTATGAGGACCAGTGACTTCTTTTTACAGATGAACAAACCGAAGGAGAGGTGCCCACATTTGGTAGAGTTCTACCAAATGAGAACCCCACATTTGGGGTTCTCAGAGTTCACTCGAGAGAGTTTCAGTTTGATTTTGTGAAGTAACAACCATGCTTCCCACGGCTGATCGTGGCTTTGGCTCTTACCTTCAGCCCTCGCACAGTAAATGTTCTCACTGGCCATCAGCCCGCTCGAGGCTGCAAAGAGAGGACGGTCCCTCACTCTTCTCTATGGGGCAAAAGAACTCCGCCATCCCTGGAGGTCTCCACTGTGACACGTCAAGCTCAGGAAGATGCCTTCTCTCTTGTAGTGTTTGAGATAAAACACAGCTGGAAAGACTCATGTGACCCTGTGTGATGGGGACATCGCCACTGCTACTGGAACTCTGTGCTGCAGGAGTTCAGCTGACATGACTCCCTGTGTCCCAGGCCCTGCGCAGGACATGTGCGCACACACACTGTCTCACTTATCTTCACGATCACCCATGCAGTATTATCTCCATGAGTGGGTGATGAAACAGTGCTAAACCCGAAGTTGCACTGTCACAGTGACAGTCATTGGCAAGGCCAGGATGCAAACTGGGTCTGCCCCTTCTACCTGTGTCCCTTTTCTTGTTGTTGGAGGTCGACCAGCCTAAATCAAGGAAGAAATGGTCCCTCTGCCCAGGCCTTCTGAGCTGCTTGAAGATGACTCAGTCATATCAAAACGAAAGCTAAGACCCTGGGATCCCCCGGGAGTCTTTGGTATTCATTGTCATGTCCTTGCATTTTGCTCCTCCCACCTTCCTGTCCTTCATCTTCCTGGTCATTTTACAAAGGACATGTGTACAATCTTTCTCTAAGGTCCCTGGAAGAACCTATAAATGCCAATGATGAGAAAAATGCAGGTCCTGGGCAGGCCAAGCACACGTGTCTGCAGGTAAGCCAGCAGCACCTGTGTCAGTCTAGCTACCTGGGCTGGCTCTGTGCCATGGAGGGCTTTCCCTTTACTCATTCATTAGTCACTTGTTCAGTAAACACTTGTTGATGCCACTGACTGATAGACACTCGACTTAAAGCTATAGGGAACACAAAAATGAATAAGCCTGTCCCCTTCATAAGGGTGGAGACCACCATGTATACAAATAATTACAGTACTCTGTGGAGAGGGATTTTTCTTTCTCTTCTTGGAAAACGACTCTGAACTTAGCTTGAACTTCATCACCTTGTGCTTCTCCCCTTGTCCCTCAGTGCTCGGGGCACACCTCTAGTAGAGAAAGGTGCTGCTGTAAACCTGGCATCCATGTTCTCTCTCTCCAGACTGAGCCTGAGAGTCAGGCTCACATCCAGTTCCACTGTCTGCGTGCCTGGTAAAGTTGGTGCTCAAAGTGTGGGTGGTGGTATGTGTAGGAGCTTGAGTGATACAGTAGGTGACGCCATCTATATATCCAGGATGCCGTGGGAACGTGGAACACTGAGTCCTGCCAGAGATGGGGAGTGGGGACAGCTGTCAGGCAGACCGAGGCTCCCTGTCTACCCGAGGGCAGAGCCCTGCCTCTGCTCACAGAATTGCTCTGATACCCTGTCTGGTCTTCATATTAATATTATAAGTGGTGAAATGGTTGTAAACACACCACTGAACTCAGCAGCTGTTAGATGTTTGGGTCTCTACTCCCAGTTCTGTGCACTTACAGCCTTAATTGTACATGTAGTTGTACATAGTTGTGTTATAAGCAATTCTCTTTGCATCCTGGAGCTTTGACTTATGTCTTCTATGTTGCTATATAGTTTTCAATGATTTTCATTTTTAAAAAGTATCTACAGGATATAATGCATGTGCCAATATTTATTCCCTCATTAGCTATTTAGGTTGTTCCTAAACTTGTTACTGTAAATGTTTTTATAACACTTTATTGAGCATCTTTGTACCTTTGTCTTAGTTTGCAACCATTGGGCCAGGGAGTGTGGACATTTGCAAAGAGCTTGATAAGTTGTGCTCTGCAGCTCCCCAAGTGTATGCCACTCCCACTCATGTGTCAGGCATCCATCTCTCATTACCTTCCAGCCAAATGCCTTTCATGGTGGCAGGGCAGACATGGGTCCTGCGACTCTCAGGTCTCAGAGTTGGGCTGGGGATTTTCAGTAAAAGCACCTGCTGTCCTCTGAGAACAAATGTACTTCCAAATCCGGTAGGAGAAATCTCCACCCTCCGAGAACCGCTGGCTGAAGTACCTAGAAAGGAGCTCTGAAAAGGTGGGGCTGAAGGAAGGCGTGTGTTTCAGCAGGCAGCCCTCGTCTGCAACCAAGAAGCCATACTCTCCCAATACCAGCCTGCCCAGAAAAAGGTGCCCGTGCTGACCCATGGGTGGGGGGCTGATGAGCAGCTTGTAGCGGCCAGCATCATGGGGAGTGTGAGCCAGTGGGCATGTCACTGCTGGGCCCCCCTTTGCCTGGCCAGGTGTCAGGTGCCGCGGGTACAGAGGTGAGGGCTGGGCAGGGTGCCAACGTGGGTGCCTGTACCATGTTCACTTGATTCTGAACACCTAGACTGCACTCACCGCAGGGAAGAATTTTTTTATGGGCAAGGTTGACAAAGCCAAGTGTGGCCAGGCCTGGAAGCTTTTAACCTAGATCAGGAAAGACCCGACTTCTGCAGGTGTCTTCTCCAGACCTAGGGCATGTTCTGAGACACTGTCTCATCTAGATCCAGGCTCACTCTTACAGGGCGGGTGCTGTTGGAAGGGAGATTGCAATTCAGAATAAGAACCTTCCAGCAACCGCAGGCCACGAGCAGAGAAACGGACTGCCTTGCGTGTCCTTGGGCAGCCTGTTGTTGGCCGTGGGGCAGAAGCTGAGCAGCTAGCTACCTGGAAAGCTGTATAGGGTGACAAGGTTCTACCTGTGCTGGGCGTCAGACCAGGTGACTTGGTGATGGGACTGGATTCTTGACAGCACTTACCCTCTCTCTGCCAGGAGATGGAGCCAGAGCACGGCCCGGCCTCCATGCATCCCCAGTGGTCAAGACTTGGGGAATTCTGAGGACACCTTGGAGACCCAGGTTAGCGATTGAGAACAGCATCTCTCTTCTCGCCCTATGAGGACACCTTGGAGACCCAGAAGGTTAGCGATTGAGAACAGCATCTCTCTTCTCGCCCCAGTGACAATTAAGTGTACCCAGGATTTTTTAATTGTTGCATTTTATTGGCAACTGAAGTATGAGACTTAACGCCCCCAAACACCCCAGCTTCCCACTTGGGTATCTTGTCTTCTCCGTCTTAAGCCAGCTCCTTTCTCTGGCCTGCACTGCTGCCCCGCCCCACCCACCCTCCTTGCTATTAACTCCCAGTCAGTCGCAGTTTGGTGCCTGGCGGCAACTGAGGTAGACCAGCAGGGACTCTCAGGGTCAAGACTGTTCAGCTCGCTGTGTGGAGTGCCTTCAGCCACCTGTTCCACACCGGCGGGCCCAGCCCTAGGGGACTGCTCCCGTTGTGCCCTCACTGACCCAGCATGTTCCTGTGTATTCAAGGCCCACTTTCCCCAGGGTCTGCGCTGGGCCTCGATGCTTCCAGCCCAGCAGGCCTACTGCACTCTCAGGCTGCATGCCGCAGGCTTTGCTGTACTGTCATGAGAGCCACATCGCCCAGGCAGAAGACTCTGCTGGGCGACATCACTGCCAGTCCCCAACACAGGCCAGTGGCCTGGCCAGCTTTGGGCAGTAGTGCAGAGCACAGGCTCAAAGCCAAGAGACAGAGGCCAAACCTTGGTGTTGCCACTAACTGGCTCTATGACCCAGGTAAGGATTGGCCCTGAATCCCAAATTAGAGAACAAAGGTAATGGCACTTAACAACATGCCTGTCCCTGAGTTACACGTTTTGACTGTGTTGCCATGTGCGATGCTCGCCATGCACCCGTACTGTTTTGAAGGTGAATCACGGCTAGCGAAGGTTCAGTGAGGTCACAGCAAGTCAGTGACAGAGCTGACAGTGGCAAAAGACCACAGCGCCTCTTCCCTGATGCCTGGGGGTGGTGACGCAGTGTTCGACCTGTCCTCATTTCCAAGTTACTTTGTAGGTGGTGAAACCCAATTTTCAGTGCATCTGGTTCCTGAGGTGGGAGAGGCCAGGCCTCAGCAACATTGTCTCATCCCACTAGGACCTCTGTGCAGCCACTTCCACAGCTTCAAAACCCTCAGCATGGACCTTCCCCTCTGCCCAGCAGTGAGCAGCAGGATGGCGGCTCCATCTCTTTGCGGACAGCCTCTCGGGCCCTTCCAGCTCACCCCTCCTCTTGGGCACACCTTCCCCTGATTCTCGGTTCCCCACGAGACAAGTGAATATCTGCCTTTTTTGAAAAGCTTGCTTATAGAATTTGGCAGAGGGTTTGGGATGAGGTAGAGGGCATTTCTCCCTCCACTATGCTAAACCTCAAAGTACATGCATGTTGCTAGCCTGCAGCCTAAGGACTGGGTAGGAGGGAGAGCATGGAGCAGAAAGTGCCAGAACTCAGAGGGAGAAGAGGAAGCGGCAGTGCAGGCACAGGGACCCTTCTCTTCCTGTCTTCCGGTCCTGCTGGCCGCTGGCTCTCATCCTTCTGAACAGAGGACATAGCCATCTCCTGCTTTGTCTCCACTGCAGGATCACACTGGCCTGGCAGAGTTGGTTGGAGAAGGAAGCTGTTGCGAGGACTGGGACACCAGGGAGTTCACTGGTCCTTGGCAGGGACCACCGTGTCCTGCCCAGTGGGTCAGGGCCACATCTTCTAAGTGGGATCAATTTCTTTTGACACCTGGAAACAGCTCACATGTGGACACCGAACCCCTGACACCCCTGCAGAGGAGCCCCAGGCCAGGTGGGGGAGCACAAGCTGAGCAGACCCCCAGGGAAGGGGGCCTCAGCAGGACCGCCGGTGTGCTTCAGCTCTCTCAAGCTACACACACTCCTATGGCTGAGCCCAAGAGGCCCTTTGGGGAGACCCCCAAGCACATATGGGGCACAGGCCCTCAGGCAGAGGGTGGGCCCTTGGTCAAAGGGGCACAGGAGCCTGGACCTGTGCGACTGGGTGATCTCTTTAACACCGGTGAGGACTTTGATGACGATCTGTGAACAGGCCAGTGTGCTATTACATGTTTGTTACGGAACAGGCCAGTGTGCTATTACATGTCCACTAGACTCCGTGTCACTGGAAACAGGGTTCCCGAGGTGCTTTTAAATAGGACTGAAGATTCATGGGAACTACCCAGACCAACAATAAACATTGCTATCAAACGGATCATCTTTAATTAAAGTGCTTATACTGTTTAATTAGAGATTGTTTACAAATATGCTAACAGAATAGCTACAAAGGGCTTTTCTTTAAAAGCAGGTGACACATTTAGAAATGAGAGAACAGTGGTTATGAAACAGGTAGTACTCAGTGACTGCCAGCATCGGTTCCCCCCTCGACCCTTCCTTGTCCCCAGGACAGTCCTGGGCTGTCCTGCCCTCCAGTGCTTGCTCCAGAACTGCCTGCTCTACCCCAACAGTATGCTGGCTGCTCTCTAGCTAAGCTCGGAGTATATAAGTTTCTAGCCGAAAATCAACTACATGTCAGTGTCCTACTAGTCATTTTAAAAAAGAAAAGGCCATTAGGCAAGATGTATGCTGGACTGCTGGTGTGATCTTGGCGTATGGACAGCAGGGACCTGATGCAGTGTGGCCTCGGCGTCCTCCCCAGCAGTCTCGCTCTGCCCAGGGAAGCCTCCAGGCCCACCCTGGCTGTGAGGAGCTAGGGCACCGAGGGAAGCTGGTAAACGTTTCTCAGACCTCAGCACAACACTTGGAACTCCCTCACGTCACTTGTTCTACTGCCCTAAATGGCTTCATGCATCCCCACCCCACCCCGGATTCTGGAAGAATGCAGAGAAATTGGCCCTTATAGAGGCACTAGGGTTCTACGCTAGCTCAACACAACTATGAGACAAGAAAGGGGACACAGAACAAGTGAGCAAAAATTGTCACAATGGCGGTGGGTGCTTTGAATACTGGATGGTGTCCAAGGCAGCCCCAATATCATAATTCTTGGTCTGTAGGAGCCTGGTGAGCCAGCCGCCTTCGTCCGAGAACCCCATGGACAGCATCTGGGAGAGGGACTCAATCAGCCGGGGGTCAGCTTCTGCCAGAGACAGTAACGAGCCATGAGAGAGTGTCATGGGGCCCCAACTATGACCTGTATGCAGCAGCACCCTGTCTAGCCAGCAAATGCACAGTGCCTACAGGGTCTGGTGCTCCCACAGGGTCACCAAGCCTCACGGGACCCTCCAAGGCAGGGGATGGCCAGCTTTTTTGTAAAAGGCCAAAGCATAAAGATTTTAAGCTGCTTTGCTGGCTGTCGGTCTGTCACAGATAACTCCACCTGCTGTTAACATCATAAAAGCAGCCAGAGAGGATATAAACAAGTGAGTGTGGCTGTGCTGCAATAAAACTTGTACTTATGGACACTGACATTTGAATTTCATCTGATTTTCACAGGTCTTGACTATTTCTCAACCATTATAAAATGAGAAAATATCCTCACCCATAGGCCACAGTTTGCCACCCCTGCTCTAAGGCAGAGATATACACCAGTGGCCCAAGTGCCAGGTTTGGCCCACAAATGAGTTTTCACTTGAATACTATCTTAAAACAGCACCTCCATGTGACAGTGTGAACCAGAAGGGAGTATCAGCTGCCTCTCTCACTCGATGTGTACTTTCTGGGCCGCCAGCCCCATGCGGCCCTGCTGCCTCCCATGCCACCTACTTCATGCAGTGGCTTCCTGCCTGGCTACTGCACACCTTGGCTGTGACTCCTGCTCTCAGGCTGGCACTCTCCATGAGGAAACAAGAAGATGGACTCCAAGGCCCACTTTTAGTGGGGCATGGCAGTGCCAAAGCCAGTGCCACCTCTATGGCACATCTGCCTTTGTAGTTGCAGGTCCAGATGTTAGGTTTTAGAAATTAACTAAAATGAGCTGTGCTTACAAGGCGCAGCATGTACACAGGACAAAACCCACTCCTAATTTCCTCTCATGCCAACAAACAAGCCCTGCAGTAGAGAACATGATGTCTTTTTGTGTTGCTAAAAGCAGGTGACAGGACACTCTGAACAAAAAAGGTAGAAATACGAAGCTGCTTGAAGCCACTTGCCTGGTGGTAGGTGTGGGTACAGCGCTGCCTCCTTCAGCCCCGTGGGCCCTCCCTGGGAAGGGTCCAGGGAACTTGGCCCTTCAGACTCAGGCATTTGCAGGGACTGGAGTTCACCTGTGGATGGGTCCACTTCTTTTGAGGACAAATGGGTCCAGTCCTCATCTCCTCCTGAGCAGTTATCAGACTCCATTTGTTCCTAGAACAAACCACCATGAGCACCCAGGATGTGAGTGACAGTCCCACCCGACCACAGCCTCAGTTCCTGGGAGGGGGCACGTGAGGACTAACTAGCAAGGAGCCAGAGGAGTATTTTTCCCTGTAGAGTTCTAGCAGAGGGTCCAGAGAATGACTTAAATGCCACAGATCGAACTAACTCTGTGACAGACTCAGGTCCCGCTGGCAGTATGAGCGCTCGCAGGGGCCCTGGCTGGGGGGTGGGGGCAGCAGGAGGGTGCTTGCCTCAGGCCGCGCCCCTAACTCCAGGGCCATCTTGCTCATGGGCTCCGCCAAAGACTGCACGGCACCCTCCACATCCCCGTCCGGTTTGGTGGGGTCAGAAGAGCAGCTGCTTGGCTGAGAGCCACATTTCTCCTCGGCACTGGAGCTGCTGGGGGAGACTGGTGTCAAGCGGCTCCTTTTCCCGCCATGTTCCACGTCGATGTCGACTTCGATGCCTAGGGGCCAAGGAGGAAGCGCCAACCGTAAGCCCTTCCAAGCAGCAGCCACAGGGAAGGAGCCGTGTGGGGCCGCAAGCTCATCCGGCCCTCCAGCGTGGGCATCCACCACACACCCGGGGTCACACCGCCCGACCGGACCGGGCCAGGCTGTCAGCCCGCCACCGGAAGGCAAATGGATGGTCAGACTTGACCTTCAGGGTCCCGAGGGCTGACCTACTCCCAGCACCCTGGCCTCAAATCTTGGCTTCTAGAAAAACTCTTATTGTACCGTTCTCTTCCCCCAGCTTAACAAAACATTAATCTCAGCTGACACCCCAGGTCCATTTCAGAGCCAGAAAAGTCCAGGAAGAGACCTCGCTTTTCCTAACGGGCAGGACAGTGGCCACACAGCAGGCAGGGCTCGACACAAACCAGGGAGAGCCAAATACACATGGCCGGGACACCGTCCTGGCACTGAGAACCACGGAAAGCATTACACCCGTGTGGGGACCTGGTGACAGGAAAACCACGCATACTAAATGCCGGCATTCTGCTTAGGCAGGTGACAGCCCAGCAAGCCTGTCCGAGGCCTACGAGCCTGGAAGCACAGGCGGCGGGGGAACCTCCGGGCCCTTGCACTCTGGGACATATGCTCACCGAGAAGGGGGGGTAACAGTCACCGGTGCTGTTTTTAATTAATTTTAATTTCTCAAAGGACTACCGCCCACAGCTTTGAGTCACAGTTCCAGAAGGCTACAGAAGATTCCTGCCCTCACCACACAGCCTTGCCTCTCCCGCGAGGCAACTTTCAACCCACACTGCCCTTTCTGTCTTGATTGCTTAAGTCTACTGTTTACTTCTTACTCTAGATCAATACTTACCATCTCCCTTCCCCTGCCCTTTCATAAACTCAATTTTTGGTGAAAACAACATTCAATGTTTGTTATGCCAGAAAACAACATTCAATGTTTGTTATGCCACTGTACATTGTTCTTTGCTGGGCCAAGTAGTAGATGTACTTCCTTATAGAGTTTTTTATTTGTTTTTTGTAGCATTAATGATTAATGATGCCCCTTTCTTTTATTTGCTAACTTTCCTCATATCCTCTGTCAGTTCTGGCTTTTCCCCTGGAGGCCATCCCCCTGGGGTGCCAGCCTCAGGCTCCGGCCCTGCCAGCAGCTGGGGAGGACAGAGGTGTGACTCCCACACCGTGCCCACCTTTCCTCTCCTCCTGCCAACACCATCTTACCCTGCTTTCAGGTCCTGCTTTCAAACACTTCTTTCTTCATTCTAGGCTGATTTCTTCATTTTGGCCAGAAAAGTTTCGAGCTCAGGTGAGATGATTAACACCTTGCATACCTGACAACTGTTCTGCCCCAACACTTGATCGTGTTTGCTGGTACAGAATTCTAGAATGAACCTCGTTTTAGCTTAGACTTCTGAAGTCTTTGCTTGTGCCACTGCCATCTAGCCTCCGGCATTGTGCTCTTTGATTCCCGGGCCTTTACCGTAACCTGGAGGGTTTCAGGATCCTCTTTCTGCCAAGGGTTCTAACATTTGACAACGATCATCAGCTTTAGTGTGCGATTTTTTTTTAGTCATTGTCCGAGGCACTCGGGGACCCTTTCACTCTAGAGATGAACATCCTGAGTGCCCAGAACTTGTGTTCTTTGTTCACATCCTTCTTTCAGTTTTCCCTGTTCTGTCTGGAATCCCTATTCATCCCAGGTTAGGCCACCAGAATTAATCCTTGAATTTTCCCTCCTCCTGCCTGTTTTGCTTTTGGAATATTTCCTTGAGATGACCTTAAAATCCAAGCCTTCTTTTGAAGTTTTCTTTTTTCTACTATTGTTTTTTTTAATTTCCAAGAACATCGTGTTCCCTTCTGTTATTTTTATGATATCCTTGTTCTTTTTCAAGGACACCAAATGCCTCCTCGTACCTCACTGAGGATGTTGACATTCTCGGCACTATTAAGGTTCCATCTTTGGCACATGCAGAGCTTTTCCCCAGATGGCGAGCTCGATGGCAGCCTGCTCCTGAGAGGCCCTGAGAAAAGGCCAATAGGAAGCACTCTCCCTGGGTCCATGAGCTCCCACCCACGGTAGCTGGTGTCCAGCCAGGTGTCGGGGTCCCAGAGGCCACAGCTGAGGGGCTCCTTTTGGGCTCACTCAGCCTCTCCTGAGCAGGGACTCCCCAGCTCCTGCTGGACCCACTGCTCATTCACAAGGCCTGGCTTCAGGCTGGTGCTTTGCCATACCCTGTGTCCTTGCTATCCCTCCCTCTGAATTCTCTGGACCCACTTCTGCAAGTGGCTGGGTGGGGCCCTGAAGGCTCTATGTTAAACTTAGTTGGGGTCCCCAGACCATCCCCTTGTTCCCTGGCCTTCCTGGCCCTGGAGAGCCAGCCTCGCTGCTCACCAGTACTCTGCACAGGTTTCTGACGTCTCC